TCTCTCTTTATCGCCGGTGATAACTGCCGTCGGGTGGACCGCCGGAAAATCCGCCGGATTTCTCGACTCCCGGAGGTAGTTAGGCAATATGATGAAATGTCTCTCAATGATGTTGCTAACAGCAGCTATTTCATATGAATCATATAATGGACTCCCACAATCCCATATGTTAATGTCTTCTTCTTGAGGAGCTTCTTTTGTTACTAGTGATTCTTTAATTTGCTTCATGTTTTGTTGTGTATAATAGTTTGCAGATTGTGTTTGGGGAAGTACGTTGGGACATGTGAGTTATATAAAGAGGGGTTTATTTTTCATCTTTTATTTTTTGGAGTAATAAATATGTGCCTTATTATAGCAAATATATGTACTGCACAGGATTGTCAACATAGTAGACTGAAAAAGAAATTTAGAAGGTGACAGTAAGGTGACAAATTGTATAACAGGTGTGCAATGTGGTACTTTTATTTATTTATTTATTGTGAGATGTCTACCCTATTTGACAATTTTTAAAATTTTGTAACCTATGTGTCAAATTCTGATACTTTAGAGCGTGCTTGATATAAATATATCTACTTTATATTCAAATAATATTTAAAACAAAATAATTAAAGTTAATTTGATGTAAAAGTATGAGAGATGTGATGTGAAGTGATGATTAATTAATATGTCAGTGTATGAATAAGGAATTAAAGTTGATATGATGTGTAAAAATAATTGATTGATATTATTTAATTATATTGATAATAAACTTGAATTACATTCTTCTACCTATATTTTTATATAAGAATCTTAAAGTATGAAAAGTGAATATTTAAAATACATCAAGAAAATATAACTAAACTATGAAAAGAAAGCGAGGAATTATTATATATGATTAAAAGATAATTGATAAATAATATTATCTGGTAATATATAAATTGTTAGTACAATACTCGTGCACTACACGAGTACATGTTAACAAAATTATATTTAAAATTAAATAATAATAACAAAAATTATTTTAGTTTTTAAATAGTTTTTGAAAAAAATATATTATTATTTATATTTAAATGACATCGTGACTTACAAGACTTACCATCTTATATTATAATTTTTTTAAAATTTATATTAGATACCTACTTCGTAGTTAAGCTATTTAAATAATTTTATTTTTTAATTAATATTAATAAGTAATTTATTTATAATTATAAAAATAAATAAAATTATTATTCATTTTGTATGTATAATATAGATGTCAAAACGAAACTCATCAAGACTTGATTAATTTGATATATTATATATAAAAATTTGTTAATAAATAAAAAAATTATTAACTTTTAAAAGAAAGATTAAAAAATAATTATACCTTATAAATCACGTCTACAATAAGAAATAGTATTAAAATATAATTAATGCTTATAAAATGGATCATAAATATTCAGTATATTTATGGATAATTCAAGTCTAGTTATTTTTTGTTGGAAATAAATTAAAATTCATCCAGCCAAACAAAAAGCTTAAAATTTAGAATCCCAAAGCGTACGAGTCTGTTATTCAGGCTCAGCACATTCGAGAATTATATATAAGGGGATTAACTTTTTTTATTTAAAGAATGACACTTATTTATAAACTATTTGAAATTTATTATGAAATCGTTTGAATTAGATAATATTTTTATGTTAGGAGTGATAAGTCAGACTATCATATCACTATCATGCTTTCATATTATTCATGATATATTATAATAATCTGATTTTTTGAAAAACATACAATGCTTTCGTATTGTTCATTTTATACTATAATAATCTGATTTTTGTTTCAAATTTCTCGTACCGTTATGTTTTCTAATTGCAAATATCATGTTAGGGTCATCACAAACACCCTAATATATTTGACAACCTTTTGAAATTCATTAGTACCTCAGACCCACCATCAATATCTATATATATAATTGGTGACAAACCTTAATAAATTTTATTGAACCACCAATTAATAAAATAGGACTTCATTTCATAAAAATCTTTAAGACCAACATTTAAATGGTGATTACACAAGTAAAACTTTATTAATTATTAACTTTTTATTCTGTAATATATTTACAAGATTTTAAATGTTTTGAATATGCGATATTAAATTATTTTATAATTAATATTCCTATTTTGTATTATAGTTATATAATAACAAAACAAAAAACAATAAATTGATTTATATGAAAGATAAATAATTTATATTTATATTATACATTTACATATAGTCAAATTTTTAAAATGTAATGCACACTTTATCGGGTAAATTACGCCAAACCCCCCTGTGTTATACGAAATAGGCGCGTTTCTACCCTGTGTTTTAAAAAATGCATGACACCCCCTTGTATTTAAGTAGTTGTTGCACGATTCACCCATTCCGTTCAACTTAACGGCGCGTGCACAACACATTCTATACCTGCGAAAATTTTACATTTTTTTATATTTTACATAATTAATAAATTACCTTTATACCCTCCTGTATTTTATTGAACAAACTAAAATTTTTTGCCAATAGGAGGAATGAACTTGGGTCTCAAGGAGGTGAGTTTGCCCACTAAACCAATGGGCCAAATAGATTCTTGTGTAAGAATTATACACAACTACATTTATTATATCAATTCTAAACGAATTAATAAAGTACAATAAAAATATAATAGGTAAATTTAAAACAAATTAAATAATAATAATAGTAATAATAATAATAATAATAATAATAATAATAATAATAATAATAATAATAAGAGTTTGCAATATATTAAATTAGAATAAAAATAATGTAAAAAATACAGTATGATAGAACTTAATATAGTAGCAGGAATTGAAATTAAATAAATTATATATCTCTATTATAAAATTTAAATTAATATAAATTTGGAAATATGTAATAAAAAAATTAGATTTAAAAATAAAAACAATAAAATAATATAGTAGGTACATTTAATATATATTACATTTAATATATATTACATTTAATATATTACATTATCTTTTATATTTAATTTGATTTGTACATTGTAATGTCTATATATATTTAACGTTCTTAAATCTAACACACAAGTTGGACTAGTGGGGTGGTAGCAATGCTCTTTCCTCTCATGAGGTCTTAGGTTCGAACCTCATGGCCTGCAAAATATCGCGATAAATTAAATTTATAAAAAATATATATAAGAAATTCGGAGGGTATAACGGGGTTTCCAGCGAAAAATTAACTCCGTTAACTGGACAAATAAAAAAAAGGGAGCGTATGCATCGGTTATTCTAATACAAGGGGTTGTTATGCATTTTTTAAAACACTGGGTAGTAACGCGCACATATAATATATAAATTTTATTTCCTATAACACAGGGGGTTTGACGCAGTTTACCCCACTTTATCTAATTTAAATTTTTAAATATCATATGCACACATATAATATATAAATTTTTGTTCCTCTGTGCATGTGCACATGATCGAATACTAGTTATTTTTATTTGCACATATACTAAATATGATTTTATTTTTAATTATTCCAACACATTAATTTTTATTTGTAATTATACCAACATTATTTATCTCGTGACTTTTATTTTCTCTTTTCTCATTTTCTTTTTACTGTCACATCCCCATCTCTTTCTCATCTCTAACCTCTTCCCGCACCAGCACCAAAATCCCCAATTCATTTCCTCTTTTTTCTTTTTATTTTCTTCTTTCCGATTCAGTCGCAGACTCACGCAGAAGGCGCGACTTGCGGTAATCGAGCCTTGATCTAGTGGCTGACCGGTGGGCTTCATGAGCAACGACTTGCAATCAGAGTCAATTGACCATGGAGCTCTGTAACATCCAAGGAGCGCGATCGGATCTGGGAAGTCGACAATTGAGGCAGTGAGAACTCGATCTGCCAGACACCACTGGTTTATTAACTATGTTTTTGGATAGATCGGGTTGATTTAATTGAGAATTCGTGTTTGAAAAGGTCAGATCTAAATGCTCTATGGAGCGAAATGAAACAGGATTCTTAACAACTAATCTTCTGTGTATTTTATGTACGTCTTTGGTATATAATGACTATATCATCTGTAATTCTGTATATCTTCCAAAAAAAGAAGAAGGAACGACTAGATTGATTTATATTCAATATATCTTCTGTATATAATGCATTTTAGTTTTTTTTTTTGTCTCTCGTTTTCAAAACTCAAATTATGCAGATTTTTAATAAACTACTAATCTCACGATTGTATATCAATTTACTATGTAATACAATTTTTTTTTTTTTTAAGCATGCATCTCGTCGGTTACGGGGCATCTTGGCATGGAAAGTCAATACTACTTGATCAGTTTCTCATATAGGTATATACATATATAAATAATAAATTTAAATTACGTATAATTGCAAATAAGTTCTCTATTTTGTATTTATGCAAATAAGTTGAAATCACTACAACACAAATGTAAATTGGCTAAAAAAACTCTTTTTTCATTTTTTCTATACCTTTTTAAAGTTTTTGTAAACATAATAGATTCGAAATAAAACCATACATAAACTACCCATAAACGATTTATATACCAAAAATTAATACACTTTACAAGCTAATAGCAAAATAAACCAAAAATCAACTATTCGTAAATCATAAAAGTTGGTATATATTTGTAATTATATAAAAAATTATAGGTAAACAAAGTAATTTTCTAAAAATGGAAAAACAATTTATTTAAACCTATCAAGGCATTCTTCAAGTCCATGAATTCGAAGCAATCTAACAGCTAAACTGTTCCCCGTCATACTTCTTTTATAAAGGTGCATACTTATGTTATAAAATATAATAATTTTATTCAAGTTAGTTTTAAGAGTGACACTTCAATTTGAAAGTATGTAAGTGAAAAGGTAAGATTGTCTATAACCATTAAGACCGCCTAACAATAATCTACTATTTTCGGTCACATACCATAAAATCCCTGTCATTATCACATCACAACAAAACCTGGGCTGAAAGAAACAATTAAGTAAAGCAGAAGAAATTGATAAAAAATGAGCAGGTTTTTTCATAACTGAAACATTACAAAGCCATTCATTCAAAAACCGAGTTAATTAGCAAAAAGTAAACCACACAAGGAACAGGAAAAGCTATTGTTTGATTCATAATTTGCTAATACCTTATTTTGAGACAGCACTTTCTACTGAGCTGTAGAAGAAAACCAAGGAAAAAACAAAGAAACTGGTAAATCAACACATATATAAACACATGTTAAAATGTTCCCCACCATCTTTCTCTCTCTCTTTTCCTCTCTCTATCTCTAGTTTTCATCTCCTCTTTTCAAACCCAAAAGTTTGCATCAGTCGGAAATCCTAATCTCTACCCCGAGCAACTCTTTCACTTGTTCGTACGCCACAAAAGCAATTGCTATTGATGGCACAACCTGAAGAAAATTCAGGGTACTTTATATCAGAAGAGGATATTACCGACTTTCGAGTGTTGTTATGACACATATCAGCAAGTCTCGTGTGGTGTAATCGAGAGATTCAGCTCTCAAAATAGGAGAAAATAGCAGCAAATTTTTAAAAATCACAAATACATCAGATGAACTTCTCTAAACAAGATTTTGGCTTTGAAATTACACTACACGTTCTTTTCATTATATCATACATGATATAATGGCAACTCAAATAATCTCCAGAATAAACTATTGTTGTGTTTGGTAAGCATATAAGCTTAGTTTATATCTTATTTGATTAGCTTATAAGTTTCCTGCATTCAAATAAGGTTTGTTTGGTAGGATGAGCTTTTTTAAAAAGTTCAACTTTATCTCATATCCTTGGGTAGCTTTTCAAATAAGTCCATTAAAATTTTTATTTCAGCTAGCTTATCAGCTAATTCTACCATACACTTTCATGAGTTTTATCATATAAGCTAGCTTTTCAGCCATAAGTCATAAGCTATCAAGCTCGAAATTCACTTAAAACCTATAAGCTAACTTATCTGCTGTAAGCTAGCATATTATCTAGGTTTACCAAACATAGCCTATGACAACCCACATATAGTTCAAAAGACTAACAAACAAATATTATTTAGAGAATAAGATCAAAAGAGACTAACCTTGACTGAATTAGGGACCAAACCCTTGTACAAGGCTCTAACTCCTTCGTGCCTCACAGTTTTCCTAAAAGCATCAATCATGCCATTATACTCGAGCGCAGCCTTTTTCCCGCCAGTGACGATTGACGAAGCATTATTCCACCCGACCATTTGCATCCTTCTACGAATTACATCGAGAGGATAAGCAACAGTTTGCCCGACTGTTCCAGCAGCGGCCCCACATGCAAGTCTTGTCACGACACCGAGTTCGTTATCTTCTACAAGCCCAAAGGGTTTTGATTTGATCAGGTAATCTTTAAGGGATTCATAGACAGCAAAGTTGAGACCCACATAAGGGACCTGCACATAATCGAAGAAGAGCAAGCAAATAAAGGTGTTTCAGATTTTGTATACGTTTAGACAACCCTTCAAAATGTTTTTTTTTTTTTTTTTTGNTTTTTTTTTTTTTTTTGTGTGTGTGTGTGTGTTAAGGTGAAATTTATGTGATTAACTGGGATTAGCAATAATACGAGGCACGAGCACCAATGGTCCAGTGCTGCAGTAGATTCAGCCAATGTTGATTGCAAATATTAGCTACAGTTGAACCATGTTTAACGCCAAATTTCTTCTCATATAATAAAATTCCATCATTCACAGCTTTTGATAAAGGAAGAATAAAATAAACTCACTTAGAAACAATTTATCAATCATACAAAACCTACCTTTTACCACAAGGAGCAATGTCGATTCTGTAAAAGAAACTCACATAAATATTTTCAAATCTAATAAAGATCTAACACTACATTTTCTTCATAACAAGAAATTAGTAATTGCTAATTCCTTTTCACAACCAATAGAGAGGATTAAACGCTATATTTCATAATAACCACCAAAAAACACATTATCCATTCATCAGACCTGAAAAACTTACCACTCCAATGACAGAAGGAAGCCAACCCTTGTACAGTGCACGAAAGCCTTCTTCACGTAGCACAGTTGACAAAGCATGAAACATTCCCCTGTACTGATAAGGAGACTTTTCTGTCTACAACTCAAAGGGAGAACAAATAAGTTCTATGCTAAAAACCACATCATAATGTATAAGTCTTAACTTCTTGCAATGGTTCACATTCAAGATGATATACATACCTGCACAGTAAGTCTGCCCCGAACCATGTCCATTGGATATGTAGCAGACATAGCAATAATTCCAGCACAAGCTCCCGCCGCCAAACGTAAAACAGGAGTCAGCTGAGCATCCTCTGCATAATTAGTTGGGATAAAGTTAGACTTAAAATGTTTGTCAGCTCTGAGAAATAGGATTGTCGAGAAATTAAATTATTTTTCAGGAAAAAGATTCAAAGTACAAGTTTTATATTCATTTCAAACATATGTGACCCATACAGAAATATTACTTGCAACAGCTTTGAAAAAAAGAAGAAGATAGTGATATAGGAAATGACAACAAGTTGATTTAGACAGCAAGCCTGCAAACAGTATGACAAGAAAAAAAGACATACCATTTCCAGTTTGTTGCTGGTACATATATAATATACCCCTGACATAAAAATATAACATAAATAAGACAATTAGTACCCAGATGGAAAGATAAACTCATCACAAAAGAAATAAATATCATCCTTCAGTGCACCTCCAACAAAGATATAATTTTAAACTTTCTATCTTTAGTTTATCACGAGAGTAACGCTTTCACGTATTAGCAAGCGTTTAGTATGTGGGGCATAGCACTCCAAGTCTCCATCTGGTAACACTATTCCACACTTCTTCTATTAGATAACAAAGCAAACCCTAGGGATCCATCACCAAAATAAAAACATCCAGGCACAGTTCACTAGATTTTTCAGATGATGGAATAAATAGGTATGATATTATTTAATTGAATGTTTTGTCATTTTGTAAAGCCATACTTAGATGCCTGCTCATAGCTGAAGAATTTAACAGCGGAATTTGGGACAATTCGAGCACAGTTGGTGCCGTTGCCTTTGAACAATCCCCTTAAGCCTTCAGTTCTCCATATATACTTCAAGCCTTGAACAGTACCATTGTATTTAATATTGTGGGGATTTTGAACCTAACATATAATAAGAATCAAGCAACAGTGAGAGAGAGAGAGAGATAGAGTGGGAGGGAGAGATTAAGTATAAATCATCTAACACAAGCTGCCACCATAACGGTGTCCTATTTCCATTTTCAGTGCCATTTTCTATCACTTTAACATTTCTAAGAGCATCTCCAATGCTCAACTTTCAACATTAATTAAATTTGAACACATGTCAATCAATGGATTAATGTTTAATCTACATTAACTGAATGTTAAGAGAATAGGACTTTCATTTGAATTGTTACCTCCAATGCATCCATTCAACAATATACAATTTGTACATGTGGATTTATTCATTTATTAATAAAGTAAAAGAGTATATTAGAAAAAAACCACAAATTCCAATAATTATATGCATGATGTTATTTTTTGTTGATTCAGTTAATTTTTATTTATATCATCAAATTTATACAATTGTTATTTATTCAATAATTTCTCAATTACAATATGGATAACCACACAATAAATATTTTTTAATCGGTTCAGAATAAAACCACAAAACATTAAATTGCAAGAACTCAACAAACAAATCTCATGAAGATAATATTTTACTTTTCAGGACATTATTATTGATAATTTTTAAATTTTTGTTGTAACTCATCAAATGATACTACTGTATTCAAATAAATTCTCAAAATTTTTCTTGGATAAATGTAAAGGTGGGATTTTTCCAAGTTTATGAAAAACTCAAAATTTGTGTCAAATAATTATCAAAATACTGAGTCATCACTAACAGAATGTGTGAAATTAAAAAATGAGCTTGACAATGTTAACATTAATTTTTTACACATAAGCATGAAAGGACCCATAATCTAATGCATTGGAGAACTAATTATTCACACACTTTCTATCTAGAGATACTCTAAGCACGTCGGCATCAAGTTTGGTGCCAACTTTTAGTCTTTTAAAGCACGCGAGACTTTCATCAAATCATTCATAAATAGTAATATATTTGTTGTGGCGTGGTAGGTAATAGACCGAGTAAATGGGTTATGTACACTACAATTGTAGCATATGTGGGATACCCACATCAATCTTCATCAACTATTAATTCGGCAATTTTAGTGCCTGTCACGTTGTGTGACCCAAGTATGATTTATCAATGCCAAATCCATAAAAAAAACACATGCACCAGGTACCTCCAATAGATATTTAAAAAAAAAAAATGTATAATAGATCTGTATCTTGCTCAATATGACACTCAAAAGTAGTATGTATATGGCTTACACTAAACTAAACATATCATCGAGATTCTTAACTTCCTACTTTTCGTCCATTTAAATTTTCCCATATGAAGAAAGAATGACTCCATAGCTTCCAAGTTTCGAAGATTCATCAATCGAGCAAATGAAACTAGCAACGGATATGCGGATAAGAGAGCTCCTTCCTACTTTGATTCTCCTAATAACAAGTAACTTAACACGAAAATAAGAAATAATAAAGCAATACGTAGCATTCATGACAGTAAAATCCAAGAATTGAAGAACTAATTCAACTTTGGAACAAGTACCAAGGAAAAAAAAAAAAAAAAATCAGTTCAGGCAAAACTAAAACAAACATAGACTCCAATTTCCAGAAAGCAAAGCCTATGCCCCCTTTATTCACACATATTCAAGCACAATCCATGAGAAATACCAGATACATCTTTTATGCGACTTTCACAACTTTAACTTTATTCATATTAAGAAAAATTATTAAACAACACTAACCTGAAGCAAAATTTTAAGCCTTTCCAGAGGAGCCACAGCAGTCCTCGACCTGAAACAAATATATAGCAACTCAATCACCCTGGAACTTACTCCGCATCTGTAAACTAGCAGATGAACCTAAAAGTACCATTCTGTTTAACAAGATATTTCCATCAATATATAGGGTTTTTGAAAAATAGTGTTTGGTTCTCTTCCTCATCCAATGTAGGACTAAACCAGTAACAATGTTCCGTCATAAGTGAATTCGAGATGTATTTNAGACACTTTAAGAGTGGTTCTGTTCACTTCAATCAACCGAAGAAACTCTTCTTTATGATTCAGCTTCTCTCTAAAGATACAAACTTTTGTTCCCACAAACAAATAACAAGCCTCTTTTTCTCCAAACTCAGAGCCCCAACCCAACCAAATTTTATTAAGACTCCAATCCTCAAACACCAGTAAAATGAAACGAAAATAAGCAAACATACTCAATCGATCAATAACAGGACATGAGCAGATAAATTAGATAATCGACCATCACATAACATCTACATGCACGCGCTCAAAACAAAACAAATAAACAAATTCCGAGCTTACACTCCTCCGGCGACGCCTCCGGCGACCAGAGATTTGCAGATGCTGTAAACTTGATGTTTAGTGGGCTTTATATCTTCCTTCGCCAGCTTCGCCTCCTCCGCGAAATTAACAATCTTCGACACCGCAGATTCGCTCGTCTTCACATCCTCCGACGCCATTAAATCAACAGAAAAAAAATCCTAAAAAAACTAAATAATCGGACAAATAATATACGATCAGAATCAAGGTAGCATTCCACGCCTGCTAAAGCTTCTTTCTAACGGCTGACGGAGGTCGATGACGGCGGAGAGGCGGAGAAAGGTGGAAAATCGCAGCACGCAGTGAGTGTGCGTGTGTGTTTGGGGCTTATATGACGGCGTTTTGTTGAGTGCTTTTTAGAATTCAACTACCTTTTGTGGTGTAAATTGTACTCTAGAATATGATTTATCCAAGTTTATGTATTTTTTTTAATTTATTATTTTTTCAAAGTACATATTTGACTTTCTTGGAGCTTAAATGTTGATGATGATGATGATAATAATAATAATAATAATAATAATAATAATAATAATAATAATAATAATAGTAATAACAATAATAATGAGTTTGGATTTGGATTAGGGTTTAGGGTTTAGGGATAAGGTTTAGTGGAAGAGATATACTTACTCAAATATACATCATACATCATTATTATATTTTTTTATTATAATAAGGATTAAGATAATTCCAACACGTGATTCGGATAAAATGAATCTAGTTAAGTATATTAATTCTTAGTGGAATTGTTTTGAGTTTCGACATGCTATATATACTTTAAGATTTTAAATTTAAATTTTTATAAAGTTTAACTTTGATTCAAATTATAGTCTAGTATTAACTATTAAGATAATTATTTTGTCAATTTATGTCTTAGTTAATCATCCTAAAACAAGTCATCTGTGCAATTGTGCATTGATGGATCAAGCTGATAAATTTTTGGAAAACCATTTAAATAAGCCTCCAGGGTAAAATCTTCTTATCAAAGCTCCTTTGAGTTTATCTTCATTACTACTAGTGTGAAGTCCGTACGATGCACGGTAAACAATATGAGGAAAACAATATTAACTCATAATTGTAATTAAGATGTAGAGTTAATATGTGACATAATTTATCGTATATCAGTTGTAAACAATATTAAATTATCTTGTATAAAATAATATAAAAAATATATGTTTAAAATATTAAAAACACCTAAAATATTATACTACCTCCTTTTTTTTATAAATGTCATTTTGGCTTTATCAACAATTGTATAAATAAATGACGTTTTGAATCTTTTGTACATATATTTCCATTATTACCCTTATCTAGCTAATAAATACACTGTGTCTTTTCATATTCACTCTTTATATTTTTTCAAAATATCCATCTCTATCCTCATTAATGAGGATTATTATTGGCAAAAAAAATATTCTTAATTAGTGTGCAACTTCTCAAAACGACATCTATTAAAAAAAGGAGGGAGTATAATATAACGTATGTAAAGTATCTAAAATTTTATATATTATTATTGAAAGATGTGATTCACCTAAATTTTTCTAAACTATTTTATAAATAAAACATGTATAAAATTATTTTAAAAAATATTGTCTATAATATATTATTCAATTTCCAGAAGATGATGATAACTATAAGTTTGAATTTTAGAATCCACATGAGTATTATTTTTTAGATCCGTGTACTATACAAATTATTCATTATGTTAATTTTCTGTGAACTTCATATTGATTTATTGATTTTATTTTATTTTCATACAAAATTGATCGTCTCATTTTGTTTTACCATATTTTTGTGGAGATTTAACAAAGTTGATTGTATTTATAAAATGATTTTGGAGATCAACATACAATTTATAATGGAGTTTTCAAAATTGTGTACTATTAACAAATAATATATTATCATTACTTTTTTTTTTTTTCAATGCACAATTATTGAGACTGAGAATTTGAAAATTATTTTACCTTTTGAAACCGAGTATAGAAAAAATAATAGATTGATAAACAAAGTATTGATAAACATTACAAAGTGATATTTTAAACACTACAAAGTACATCATCACAATATTTGTGATCACATTGTACATTGAAGGATTGAAAGTTGTGATATTAATAAATGTGTTGATGTGGAATGTAATTTGCCACTACAACATTGAGCATTGGAGATGCTATAAGAATTCGAATATCATGCAACTCTTCACAATATTTAGTCCGCATTTATCCGATGTAATACATCAATTAATTGGAAAGTAAGTTGCTAAATAATTGTATTTGAATATTACAATTCTGAATAATTGGAAAGATATATATATATATATAATAAGAATTACCATTTAACAAAAATAGTAACAAAAAAATAGGAAAGAATTTAATGCAACCTATAAATAGTAAGTTTTATTATTTTTTTATTTTTATCAATAAAAAATCATACAACATTAAATGTTACATTAAATTTTAGGCTTTAATTTGTTTATTATTTAAAAATTTAAGCTAAGATCTATTAAGTGTGCATTTTTCATTTTTATTATTTTTTTTAAGAAACAACGAAGAACATTAAAATCTCAGTCTTTATATTTATAAAATCTATTCAAAAGGTAATAAAAATTTTAGAATATCGGTCTTTATATTTATTCCTTAAAAAAAAAAAATTGAATGCTATTCTTTAAATATCATTTTCCACTAATCATCACAATTTTTTCATTTGGAACATGTGACATAATTAATGTCTACAATATAGAGAAGAATGTGGTTCATCCACATTCTCATCCACACTCTAGCTAGCCAATAAAGAGAAGAGAGAGAATTACTATTACCATTTTTAAACTATTTAATTATTTGATTAATTTTATTAATTCATATTAAAATTTTAATATTTGGTAAATAGATATTATTGTAATTTGACTACATTGTGCATTGAAGATGATTTTCTATATTTAATAGTTGTGAACTCAACATTTGTCCTACATGGTTCACAATCTATTTAATTTTTTGACATTTGTCAAAATTTATCCTACTACAATACTAGAGCATTGGAGATGCTCTTAGCAAGGTGGGATTCTTTCCATTTATTTAGCAACTTACTTTGTACACACTAAGAAAATATTTTTTCTTTCGATGAATATTGTGAATCAATTTTAAAAAACAATGTTTTTTAATTAATGTCGTATTTTTTTTTTTACAATTATTTAGCAACTTACTTTCCAATTAATTGATGTATTACATCGGATAAATGCGGACTAAATATTGTGAAGAGTTGCATGATATTCGATATCTTAGCAAGGTGGGATTCTTTCCAATTATTTAGCAACTTAATTTGTACACACCAAGAAAATATTGTACAGTTTTTTTTCGATGAATGTTGTGAATCCATTTTAAAAAACAATGTTTTTTAATTAAGGTCGTATTTTTTTTTAATATCTATATAAATTTATATAAATTGATGCCGTCAAAAAAAGATTTTATTTAATAACAGTTTTATTTAATTTCATAATTCATTCATAATAAGGAATCCAATATGTAACTAATTTGTACACGTGAATATCTAACTTTTAGCAGATTTTGTGTTGAAAAAAAGAATCAAATTTAGATGTACAACAAAAGTTCTGATATTTTTGTGGGAAAGTTTAAAAAAAAGCCAATCGATTTTTTGTTGTTGCACGCCGATTTAATTGTGCAAGCTAGAATTAAGAAAACACTGCAATTAAGGAGCCTTTTTTGTGCTTATTCACAATTGTCCAACTATTACTATAATTATGATATTTAATGATTATGGCGGGAAAAACTTTCTAAATTTATAAAAAGGTTATTTTTTTATATAATGATAGATATGCATAATTAAATAGATTATTATAGGCATGTAAAATAGATTATATGCATGTAGAAATTTATTACTACAAAGAGGAAAAAGTGAAAGAAAAGATGGCATAATAAGGATGAAAATATTAGTGAATAACAGGACACATGGAAAAGGGATTGAATAAAAGATATGTTGGCCCTTGGATTGCACAAATGGCAGTACAAACTACAAACATTTACATCACCAACATATATTTTTTAGTAAATATACATATTTCTATAATAAAAAATATTATATTTTAAATAATATAGTCTTAGTAATAAAATAGATATATTGTTGTTGGAAAAATATATAATGAATTGACTTGTCTAACAACTTTATGAGTAGAGATGTTATTCGAAACGATTTATTAGCGAACAAAACTGGGGTCTATTAGGTTAATCATACTTAAGAAATGATTAATTAGCAAATCTGGTTAGTTAGAGTTGTTAGTCACAAGTCAATCAAGTCCTTTGTACATATACTGTAACAGACTTGTGAAATATCGATTGAACACTTTACTCTTTCAATATACTACGCTGCGTTTCTACGCTACTCTAACAGGGTCGACTTGCGAAAGCTCGAACTTGAGCTCGACTCGTTCAATTATGTAAGCGAGTTGATTTAAACAATTAATTGAACTTGTGTATTAAGCAAGTCAGAGCCGATCAAATGGTTAGTTATTATTTTTATTGTTATTGTTATTGTTATTATTTATATGTTTTGAAATGTAATGGGAGGACATATGTGTCACAGCACTATAAAAGTTACGTGGTGGTCAGTTGAGGGGATAGCCGGATAGGTGGGCTTGGGCCACTTTTATGTGGATGTCCTCAATTGATCCATTATTACTTTTCAAGAGGCCCTCAACCACATCATAATTCAAACAAGAAAGAGGAATTTACACTCTATATTATCAAATATATTTTATATTACACATTTATACCTAATTGATATTTATTTGCAAAGATACAAAATCACCCTAAAATAATTACACGTATACTAGAATTCAAATTTAAGTCAGGTTATCATTTAATTAGGGAAATAACTGATTTAATGGGATTTAATGCCTTAACTTCCTTCTATTCCTTTTTATTTTCATAATCTTGTTTCATGATCTCATTACTTTGTGGGCGGTGGCCATAATTTGCCTCTCTATTTCAGCCCATTATTTATCTCATTCAATGATATCGCTTTCTCATTTAAAGGAATTTTGACTAATTTGGTTGCGAATTTTTTAATTAGTTTTGGTGAGTAGAATTGAAATGTTGGGGCCGGGCAAAATTTCGAATAGTGGGAATGGTTAAAAAACTGATCTTGATGCAAATGGAATGATCATTTTTGTTGTTCTTTTTTTGATTTTGTTTTTTTTTTTGAAAGAATAGGAAAGTTTGCTGCGTACCAACTTATCAGAGAAGGGAGAAGGGGGCGCGAGCGTTGATGTTGAGTCTGCTTTGCGCAAAACCAATAATAAATCTTCATCATCTTCTCCAGCCCACTCGAGCTCAGGCTGTATTAAGTCATCTTCTCCATAGTAGTAGGTTGATCAGGGAATTGGGC